GGAAGATTGGCCCTGGGCTAACATCTGTGCCCATCTTTCTCCATTTTATATGGGATGCTGCCACAGCTTGGCTTGCCAAGCGGTGAGTCGGTGCACGCCCAGGATCCGAACTGGCAAACCCCAGGCCGACACAGCGGAGCACGTGCACTTAACCATTTGTGCCACTGGGCCGGCCCCTAACTCATTCTCTCTTTTTTTTTTTTTTGTGAGGAGGACCAGCCCTGAGCTAACATCCAATGCCAATGCTCCTCTTTTTTTTTGCTGAGGTAGACTGGCCCTGGGCTAACATCCATGCCCATCTTCCTATACTTTATATGGGACGCCACCACAGCATGGCTTAACAAGTGGTGTGTTGGTGCGCGCCCGGGATTCAAACTGGCGAAACCCGGGCCACTGCAGCGGAGCATGTGCACCCAACCGCTTGCGCCACCCGGCCGGCCCCAGCTCATTCTTTTTAGGTAGAGGACTGAGAGCTACACTGATGGCAAGTGGGGAAAGGGAAGAGGTAATCACCACTGAATGGTTATATACTTTTGTTCTTATGTAACAAGTATGCTTCAGTTCCCAGCATCCCTCATTACTTGAAACATCCCAACCACCCAACACCAAAATGCCCCTAAATTCTGATCCCAGAGCTCTGAAGAGAGAAGCCATGAGGATGATGCTGGCATTTAACCCCATCTTTACCCTGCAAGCACTTCACTTAATTCATGATAGGAGACTTGGGGGTTAATTCCTATTAATCTCTGAGTCTTGAACACAGAGATTTCCAGTAATGCACTAAATTTACCTGAATCTCTATAGATCAAAACAGTATGGAATTCTCCTCAAGTTAAGAATGTGAGAATTTTAAAGGATTCAAGCATTTATTTAATTTTTGTCTTTCCCTCCAGTGTAAAGTGTCCCCTAATCTCTGCACTCGGAGGAATCAGAAACTATTTTTCAGGAATATACTATTAAAAATAACTTGCCCTCCTGTTTCACCTTGCAGAATTGTGGTGCCCATCTGTAATATCTGAGGACTTAAATTTTTATGCTCTGGTGGCTTAAAGCCCACTATGTCTGTAATTTCTATAGCTCAGTGAGCACAGGTGTCACTCCCACAGGCTCTGATTGAGTAGGTCCAGGTAGAGCTTAGGAATCTGCCATTTAACAAATCTCCCAGGTGATTCTAATGCAGGTTTTCCATGGATCATGCTTTGAGAAACATCACTCTCTGGACCTTTCTCTGTGTTGCTTTTCAGAAACGGTTGAATGATTTTGAGGTACTCTGTACTGTAGTAAATATGTCTTTTTTTCTATGGGGTCAAATTGGTACAATCCACATTTCTGCCAGGTTACTGGCCATACTACAAGTCACTATCTTTCTTTCCTCTCCCTTTTAAATGGGCATATCTGGAGGAAGAAAGGTATGGGTGATTCAATAAGCCTGTCCCCACAAGATGAAGGGAGGCAGGTCTGCTGGCTGTTGGACACTGCACAAAACTCCAGATACTTAGGACCAGCATTCCACAGGTCCAGACTCTCAGAAGAGCCTGGCTGAACTGTCCTGTCACTGATTTATGGCACAAAATCTGTGATCTAAACCTTTTTTTTTCAAAATTAGGATATAGGGTTTAAAATGCCCCTAAGTAAAACTTCTTAGTCATGGAGAAAATTACCAAACTGGCATCACCAATGTATGTGTACTGGGCTTTATGTCACCATGCACCATTTGCAATCACACCTAAATAGAAGAGACACAGGCAATCCTTTAGCTCATGTGATCTGTGTAACATCTAAATGGCAATTGAAGTTGTGACTGTCATGTGCTGCAATGGTATACAAAAATTAATAGGATCTAGTCTGTGTCCCAAGTGACCTTCCTTTTGTCTTGTCATTAATGCTGTGGGGCAGAAGACTTCTCCACTGTCTGATACGCAGAGAGCAGCTCGCGCTTCCTTACCTCTTTGCGTCTCCATGAGAAAGCTGGTCAAATGACTCCTGGAGGTTTCGCATTTACAGCTAAATGTTGTTTGGGTCATGCATTTTTATTTGTGCCAGCATTTCTTATTTTTCCATGGTAAATCGTGATCTTTTCAACTCCCAAGAACCAATGGATGAAAATTGCTATGAACAAATGAAAGCCCGACCGGAGAGATCTGTGAATCAACTGCAAGAAGCCACGGCACCTGCACAGGTGAGTTTTGTTTCCTGTATCGAGGGTGAAGCTCAGCCTAGATCACAGCACAGCCCATGTTTCAAGAGCATAAAGGTGGCGCATCCCGATGCGCATCTGAAGCAGCCTCTTAGAAACTTTGTGGTCTGAATCAGTGTCAAGTTCTGGCATTTGAGCTCTCAAGGGAAACTCAACGGCAAATAAACAGTGCTCAGAACCACACTCAAAGAGCCGAAATTGTGTACAGTTACAGACGCAATAGATTTGAAGGAAAAGTGGGTTCTCGTAAATAATCAATTAAGCTTTTCCTTTCAGATTGAAAAAGTGTGTGCATCACAGAGATGAATACAAAAGTTGACACATGCATAATGCTCACGAGACCTAGATGTCAGGACTTTATGGGGGGGGGGCAGAAAAAGAGAGACCTTTAGTTAAAAGATAAGTTAGCTGGATATAAAAGACCTTACTTCTATTTTACAAGGCAAATGAGTGTACATTTTAATACAAGTCCTATAGCCGTGGTCTTATGGCAAGAGGTTTTCACATGGCTTGTGTGGGGATAGGTCGGAAGAAAGCCTAAGCAGAAACACATAAAAACCCAAGAAGAAATGGATAGTTTCTCCTTTTCCTACCAAATCAGTTCAGCCTCCTCAGACATTGCACTGACTTCAAAAGCCATTCACAATTCTCAGCCTACATGCTGCTGAAGTGTTATACATTTCAGTTAAAAGAGTTCTTCTTCCCTCCACTCCCAATCTTCTCCCCTCAGTTATGAGCTCTCTTGCTACTCGCTGGAAATAGTCATATGGCCGGCATTTCCTGTGCAGCTGTTAGGTGTCAAGCCTTGAATTATGTGCTTTCTATGCATTATCTTCTTAGATTTATATGAGGGAGGCAGCATCACTATTCCCATCTGACAGAGGCTTGCAAAGGGTGAAGAATTTGCCCTAGAGCGCTCAGGTGCTAAGTGGGGAGACAGAATTTAAACTTAGTCCTGTCTGACAGGAAATATTCTCTTCCCAGGATGGGTCACATCTTGGAAACTTCCCACTAAGGTAGAATTTTTCTCTTCTTCTTTGTATGAATCCCCTAAGAAATCAGAATTCTTGACATTTTTATTAAGAAACCAAGATATGGTGAGGTTTAAGCAAAATGTAGAGTCACCCTCTGATGGGGAAATACATCATCTGATGCTCAATTAAGTGTAAAGTGCATTTTTAGATAAAAGCTATGAAAAACTGCATGTTATAGTATGATCTGCTAAATCCTTGATAAGAAGAAGAAAATCTCTCAAAGAAGGTTAAAATGTAAGCACACCATCTGAAGTGTAGAGATTCATAGCAGCTTAGTTGTGAAAGAAGAGAAATTCTGGATAGAAGTTACTATTTAATACATATGATGCGACAGGCCAGCTTTATTTGAGATGCATCTGGTTTTTACTCAAGTGGAAATTGAACAAAGCCTTAAAATGTCTTTAAAAGTCTGCTCTTTTATAAATTATATATTTAAGAATACTTCTAAGGGGATTAGTCTTTAATCTATCACACCCTTCTCACAAATTTAGCTTCATAAATTAGAAATAATCTCTTTATATTTACTTAATTTCCTTTTATTAGAATGATCATTATCAAAAACACTACACAGTTTGCTGCTACAATACTTACTTTGTTACTTTGGTCAATTACAAAAGCATAAGGAATCTACAATACTATGCATAAAGCTTAATGGATAAAGTGGTTTTTGGGAAAATGGAAATCAGTTCCTTGCCCTTTGAAAATGATGTGTCCGGTTCAGAAGTTAACTTCAGTATCTCAGTCTACTAACTAGGAAGAGTTAATCAGGAAACCTCCTAATAAAGTGAGTCCACATGGGTTTCCATAGCCCAAAAAATGTGAGGGACCCAAGTGTGAGCTCGCTCCTCTTCTCTTACCTTTATGTCAAAATCTGTCGCCTATCTCTCCTTTCCCTCCGGTGTCAGAAGCATCCTCTCTCCTTTCCAAAGCTAATATTCCCACTTATGCTCTTGACCATTTCTCCTATTTCTTTCAAGATCTTGCACCTTCAATTATTTGTCTCCATTTTACATTTTTTAAATGAATCGTTACTATTTACCTACCATATGCACAAATCACCCCAATATTTAAAAACATAAACAAACAAAACAAAACTTTACTTCAACCCATTTTTCTCTCTGATTCCTACGCTGACTCTTACTTGCCTCTACTGTTTCCATAGATACACATTCTCTTTCACTGCTGGCTATATATTCTCTACCCATCCACTCAACTGAAACCACACTCTGGAAGTCACAGGTGACTATTACATGTACAATTTGTGGTCCTTTCTCAGGATTCACATTCTTTGAGCTCTGCAGCACTTGATAAAGTTGACCAATTGTTGACCAGACATACTTTATTTGGAATGTTTTCAACTATAAGTGCAGAAATTCAATTCAAACCACTTTAGCATAAAAGGGAAATTTCTGGCTCAAATAACAGAGAGATGTAAGGGTGTATTTTGTTTTTGAGATGACTGAATATGAGGGCTCTCTCCATTTCTCCTCCCTGCTTCTCTCTGTTACTGACTTTCATTCTTTTCTATGACCAACAGACTCTTCCATTGAGTCTGGGCAAGCCACTGGCAGACCCAGATTTTCTTCCTCCCAGTCCCAGGAAAAAACACCTTTTCTATTCCTGCATCTGTCCATCAATCCCAAAGATGCCTTGGCTCTGTTGAAGTCACATGTCCTTTCTTGGGTCAGCTTCCATTGCCGGGGGGAGGGGTGGTGTAATTGGATTCAGCCTAGGTCACATGCTCAGTCCTGTGCTGGGCTTGGGGTACAGCACTGTAATTGACAGCCTCTCCAGGACCAGATAGAGGAGAGGAATTTCCCAAAGGAAAATGGAGAATTTATCAAAGAAAAAGGATAGAGCGAAGTGGTGGACAGACGAAAAAAATATCCACCGTTTGTATTACTGGGGGCCTTCTGGTTGTTTTGAACGTCACTGACCTCTCCTTCTGTGTCAGCCTGGGCAAAGACAAAGCAGGGAAAAGCAGGAGGTGTGTGCAGGAAGCAGTCAGTTGTCCAGTGGAACCCCGGAATACAGGGCTTATGTAGGGGAGAAGAGGGAATGAACATCAAAAAGGTGGAGTACAAGCGTGGGAAACCTTGAGTGTCAGGATATGAAATTTGGACTTTATTCCATAGGGTAAAATTTTGGAGACAGGATGGTAAAAAGATGAAAGTTGTGCCCTAGGAAGATAATTTGAAGACAGGATACGGGTAACCGGCCGAGGGAAGGAACTGGAGCAAGGTTACCAGTTAGGCAGCTGTTGCAATTTTCCAGAAATGACTATTTGAGGAATAAAAAGTCAGACAAAGACACCAGAGAGGTTGGAAGTAGAACCATCTCTTCTGCCTGATAGCAAATACGACGTTTAATTCTTAGCGTGAAAATGAGTACATCAGGGAGATGCTTTCTGACGCGTTAGGGGCTTTGTTAATCCAAATGTTGTTTCCTTACCCCCTGCCCCCACAACTGATATAATTTTGGCCTGCTCTTATAGGTAAATCCTTGGCACAGAAATTGTTTATTTATCCAACGGCTGTCTTAAAGTTTTAGCCTACAACTTCTAATAATTATAATCCCACACCTAACTTTTGGACAGTGGTTATAGCTTCCATATATATTATCTCTATTTGCTCATAACACTGTGTGATAGGTACTCCCATTTTACAAGCCAGAAAACTGAGGCCCACAAAGAGTGTTAAGGAATTGGCCAAGATCCCATGATCATCGGTATATGACAGAGCCAAGATTCAATCCTAGGCTTTCCAACACCAAATTCAAGGTCTTGCTTTCAAGCCTATTGCCTCCTCAAGTTTCCCTGGCCTCCAGTCCTTACTCTAGTGTTGACCCAGCTCTAGGCCAGAGAGGACCACCAGACCCTCTTGGATACAAATGAATATCTCCAAAGCCAACCTAAAATGGGCTGCAGGGGACCTGGGGAGAGGCAGGCAAGAAGGAAATAACAGGAAAGATGGGAAATGTAAGTCTTGCCAGATGCTATCCCATAAATGGACACTGTTATTTTTATACTTCGGAATCTCAAAAATGTAGAAATATTGGGGACTTTTGTGGGTACCATCAAATGACCAATTATTAAACATATGTAAAGTAGACTTTGTGATTTATGAAATTCCTTCCTATCATGCTTGTTCCCTGTTTAACAAATTGGAGGATTGTTACTTGGTAAGAGCAACATGGGGCAAGAGCCACCCGAGATGAAGGCAGGTAAGAGTCCACCTAAAATGTTCAGGTATATTTTGAGTATGAGAAAGAAATGAAAATACACACACACAAATTTCATCTAAGTATTTTTTTCCACTCAAAATTCTTGAGCTGACTATTGTTTTTCATTGTCATCCTAACTGACAAATTTGGCAAAACAAGGTGGCTGAAGCCCAGAAGACAACCTGCTTGTTTTTCGTAGGCCTTAGAAATTCACAGAAGTCACCAAAGTTAAAGAATGGGCTAACAATGAAAAATTGACACGCCTTTCTTTTTAGGCAACCAATGAGGCACGGATGTTCTACGCCTCACTGGCTCCCAGCCAGGAGAGGAAGCACAGGAAGCCCAGGAAACACGATGCTTATTTGTCAGACAAGGATGGAGATGAGCAGTTACACGCAAGGAAGGCCAGCCTTTCTAAGACCTCTTTGGTAGACAGTTTCCCGCCGGAGAGCCAGGCAGTAGAGGAAGACATTCATGATGATCCCATCAGGCTGTTCGGACTGATTCGTGCAAAGAAAGAACCTACAAACCAGATGGACTATGATCTAGCTCAATGATTGGCTGTTATTGGAGATAGTTGTTAAAAAGAACAAAATCCCCGTACGACACAGCATAATTTGGCAGGATGCCAATGGTGAGATGGCAGTTTCTTTCTTACCCAGAGTTTCCAATTCATGTACACCAAATGTAATGCCGTGCAAATTAGTTATATGAATTAGTTATTTGAATTTACTTAAAAAATGCCTTAGTAGTAAAATCTAAACTAACATCAAGTTTGCAGGTTGAGCCTGATCATGAAGTCACAACTTCATCAATACTTAATACTCAGTAAAATAAAACAAAACAAAAAAATGTTTTAAGCGTTAAGTGTGTTCTGGAACATGATGAAAGAAAAATAAAAGTCCATGTCTTTTTAAACACTTCTTTCTCATCAGTGTGTCTCACTCCATAATTGGGAGAAATTTCTGATTGAAAGGCATGGGAGACATTCAAATACATTTCTGAGAGAAGTGGGATGATCCTCTTAAGAAATATTTCTCCCAAATGGAAATATCTTTATTAGTTTAAAAAATTGTTATAAAATTAGTGCATGCTCCTTGTTACAATAAACAGGTATCAAAAAGAGTTTAGATATTCAACTAGCCAGAGGTAATCACTATGAGCAACTTTCTATATATCCTAGATATTTTTCTGGGCACGGCAGTGTACACACATATGTTGTTTCATTTTTCTTTTTAACCAAAAAAAAAGGAGAGTGATTGCCTGCTACATATTATTTAAACTTTTTTCAGTTAGTTTATTTTGAATTTATTTTCACTGTTATTTTAACTATAATTAAATGCAGTTATATATTGTAATTTTAATGCCTGCGTAGCAACTCATTAATGACTACATTAGAGTTTATTTAAATAATGTTAAAGGACATTTAACTCATTTCCAATTTCTGTTTTTTGCTTTTACAAATAATATTGTAACGAGAATGCATCTCCACATGCGTTTAGGTGCTTGTCTAACTACTCCTTTAGGCTAAATGCCTACGAGAGGAATTGCTGCTTTAAAAGGTGTGCATACTGTGAGTCTCTAGAATATACATGGCTGAAAGGTCAAGAGTTTGGTCAAAGTGTATGTCCAATTTAAATTCTGATAAATGTTCCTAAATTGCCCTCCAAAACATCATATTAAAAAAACGTTCTGTTATCTTTCTCCATTTGGATTAGGACTTTGAACTGAGTCTCAAATTATCACTAACCAAGAAAATTGTACATGTCAGCCATCAGTCCTGCCCTCTGAGCAGAGCTTAGTGGATTTTATTCATTCTTTCTTCAACTCTTTGTTGAGCTCCTGCTGTAGTTTAGGCACGAAGTTAGATGCTGGTGTACAGTAATGAGGGAAACAGATGGAGATCCTGCCCCCGTGGAACTTAAAGACAAGTGAAAAGATGAATATCAGGTTAACAAAGAAAAATGCAGCTACTAGTAAAAAATAATATTAAGAAAATAGAAGAATGAAAAATAATGGAGAGAGGGCATCTCTGAAGAGGAAATTTTAATTCTGAGAACTGAACACTGAGAAAGAGCCACCCATGTAGAGAGGAAGGAGGAGCATGTTGCTGTGGAAGAATTCTATCCATATTTGGAAGTAACTACTTTTCCAATGACTATTTTCCATTATGAATCTGTATAAAACTAAATGCTAATGCCAAAGTAAAATATTTGAGGTTATCCACAATGTCATAGGAAACACAAAAAAATATTGATATGTAAGAGCAGAAGAAAAGGACTTAGGTTTCTGATTCTAGAGAAGAGCCAAAAAACAAGAAATAATAATTAATTAAGGATTATATATTAACTTTAAGTTTTAATTTTTGAATTAAAATAAAATGTTTGCTTTTTTGTATGTTCATATTATGTTACTAACATTTCTATACGTACTGTGGTTTAGTGACAATAAAATTTGATCGTGTTTTTGGCAATTGTTTCCTGTAACGGTTCCACATCATTCCCGTACATTACTTACCCACAGATATTTGAATTTTTTGCCTCTAGTTTGTATCATTTGAGTTTCACTCAATAATATTTTGAGTTTTATACATCAAATATATCTGATGACAGATAACTGGGGAGGTTTTAACTACAAAATTAAATTTTTTAATAGATAAAATGCTATTCAAGTTATCTATTTCCTCTTGAGTGAATTTGGTAGTTCATGTTGTTCAAGAAATTTGTCCCTCTCATTTAAGTTGTTAAATTTATTGACATAAAGTTGTTCAAAATAGTCCCATATTATCCTTTTAATATCTGTAGAATCTCTAGTGATTTCACCTCTCTTTGATACTGGTAATATGCTTCTTTTTTTCCTGACCCGTCCAGTTAGAGATTTATCAACTTTATTGATTTACTCAAAGAATCAGTTATTGTTCACATAGTTTTTCTATTTTCTGTTCCATTGATTTGCCCTCTGATCTCTACTACATCATTTTTTCATCTTATTATGTGTTTTACTTGTTCTTTTTTTGGCTTCTTATGGTGGAGGCTGAGGTCATTAATACAAGACTTTTCTTCTTGTCTAAAATAGGCATTTAGTTTCATAAATTTCCCACAAATTTTAATATAGTGTATTTTAATTTTCATTAATTTCAAATATTTCCAATTTCCTTTTGATTTCTTCTTTGACCCAGGGGTTATTTAGAAGTATGTAATTTGGTTTCCACATATTTGAGAAGTTTACAGATCTCTCTCTGTTGTTGATTCTATTTTAATTCCATTGTGGTCAGAGAACATATGACTTGAATACTTTTAACTTTATTGAGACATCCTTGCCCAGAATATAGTCTATCTTGGTGAATGATGGTGTGCTCTTGGAAAGATTGCATATTCTATTGTGGTTGAGTAGACTAGTCTATAAATGTCAACTTAGGTCAATTTGGTTGATAGAGCTCTTCTTTTTTTTTTTTTCCCCCCAAAGCCCCAGTAGATAGTTGTATGTCATAGTTGCACATCCTTCTAGTTGCTGTATGTGGGACGCGACCTCAGCATGGCCGGAGAAGCAGTGCGTCAGTGCATGCCCAGGATCCGAACCCGGGCCGCCGGTAGCAGAGAGCGTGCACTTAACCGCTAAGCCATGGGGCCAGCCCTGATAGAGATCTTCAAGTCTTCTATATCCTCACTGATTTTGCCTACTTGTTCTTTCAATTATTGAGAGGGTAATGGTGAAATCTCTGACTGTAATTGTACATTTGTCTATTTCTTCATGCAATTCCATCAGTTTTTGCTTCACGTGTTTTGAAGCTCTATTATTAGGTGCATGAGTGTTTCGAAGTGTTATGTTTTCTTGATGAATTGATCCCTTTATTATTATGTAATGACCCTGTTTGTCCTTGGTAGTATTATTTTCTGTGAAATCTACTTTGTCTAGTGTTAATATTGTCACTCCAGTTCTCTTTTGATTAATGTTAGCATATCTTTTTATATCCTTTTTAAACCTATTTACATCTTTTGTATCCTTTTTAAAGTTATTTACATCTTTATATTTAAAATGCATTTTTTGTAGGCAGTATATAGTATGCTTTGCTTTTTTTTTCATCCAATATGAAAATCTATGCCATTTAATTGGGGTGTTTAGATCATTTTCATTTAATTCAATTATTAATATTATTGTTTTCAAAGCAACACTCTTGATATTTATTTTCTATTTGTCTCATCTGTTCTTCATTTATTTTTTCCTCTTTTTATGACTTCTTCTAGATTACATCACTTTTTTTTATGATTCTATTTATCCTCATTGTTGGATTATTAGTTATAAGTCTATGTTGTGTTATTTTAGTCATTGCTTAGGGTTTATAATAAACATCTTTAGCTTAGCATAGTCTACATTCAAATGATATAATACTACTTTGGTATAGTATAAGAACCTTAAAACGGTGTACTTCTATTTCTCCCCTTCAGGCCTTTGTGCTCTGGCTTTTATTTTACACGTTGTTATTGTTTTTTCTTTAAAAGGCCAATTATCTTTCTAAAAGATTTAAATAATAATAAAAAATGTCTCCATGTTTATCCCCATAGTTAACATTTCGAAACTCTTCAATTCTTTGTGTAGATCCAGGCTTCTATCTAATATCATTATTCATCAGCTTAAAGGACTTCCTTTAACATTTATTTTAGTTCAGGTCTACTGGTGATGAATTTCCTCGGCTTTTATGCATCTGAAAAAGTCTTTATTTGCCTTCATTTTTGAAAGATAGTTTCACTGAGTAAAAAAATTTCAAGGTTGAGTTGACTTTGTTTTTCTTTTAGTAATTTAAAGATACTGCTTCACTGTTTTCTCAGTTGCATTGTTTCTGAACAAAAGTCTGCTGTCATACTTGTCTTTGTCCCTCTCTGTGTTATTTCTTATTTTTCTCTGATTATTTAAAGATTTTCTTTATCATTCATTTTAAAAAATATGCCTTGGCATAGTTTGTTTGTTTTTTTTTTTAATCTGTCTTGTGTTTGGAGATTGTTGAACTTAAATCTAGATGTTTATAGTTTTTCAAATTTGGGGGGAAATATTTTAAAAAATATTAAAGGAAATATTTTTTCTATACCCTCCATTTTCAAGTTCTTCAGTTACTTGCAAATTATCCCACATTTAGCTCATCTGTTCCTTTCAGTCTTTTTTCTGTGTTTCATTTTGGACAGTTTCTCTTGCTATGTCTTCAAAGTCACTAATCCTTTCTTCAAAAATATTTATCTGCAAGTAATCCCAGACAGGTATTTTTTATTTCAGATAATTTAGTTTTTATCTCTATATATTCCATTTGAGTACCTTTTTTTTTTGGCATCTTTCTTGTCTCTATCAAGCATGTTTATTCTTTCCTTTAATTTCTTGAGCATATTGAATACATTTATTATAATGACTGTTTTAATATTTTTATCTACTAGTCATGATAGGACATCTCTGTTATTCTGAGTGAGTTTCAACTGATTTATTTTTCTCATTATGGGTTATATTTTCTTACTTCTTTAAATTCCTGGTAATTTTTTTATTGGGCAGAAGATACTGTAAATTTTATTTTATTTGGTGATGGATATTTTTGTAATCCTATAACTATTCTTGAACTTTCTT